ACCCACAACAATAGGTGGCGCCAAATACGCATAAAACGAGTGTGCCATGAAATACGTAATGTAATGCGTGTTGTCAAGATCGCGAGTAAAAACAAAAGCTGCATCGTCGTCGTGACTGTCATAAATTAAAATAGGAAAAATATGCAATATGAAAATAATTGAAGACAAAATGTGTTTTACTGAGAAAAAAACAGATTTGGTTTTTAAAAAGCCTTTTTCCAAAAGGTACATCTGGAAAAAGGGGGGTCGTCTTATAATCAGGGTCATCTTATATTCGGGCCAATACGGTATTTCTCACAGCGAGTGTCATGGCGGACATCCAAATCCACTATAATTTTATAACTAATACTGTTTTTGTGTCACGGAATGTAGTTTGAAGTATTTTTAGGCAAGAATGTACTTCTTTAGACTTCAAATATGCAGTTTGTTAATAAAGATAACGTCTATTTGAAAATTTGCTTCGATGTTTTCGAAGATGTGAGCTCCAGGGCATCAGCGGCTGTTCAGTGCTCATGAAATTATTTTTACTTTCAACAACACCTTGTAAGATGCAGCCAACAAATGCACTGAGCAGCACTGTCATCAGAAGTCACCATTAACAGATGAAAGGAGAGTACGACAAAGATATCGCTTTCCACAGCGGATGTTCAAACGAATGTTTTATTGTGAATATGAGATTGAGCTGAAGAATGAATGCTGTATCAGATGCAGGTAATCACACTCATTCAGTCCATCTCTCTCTCATCATACTCTACATAATACAGTGAGTACAGTAATACAATAAGCTTTCAATGAAGCAACTCAACGTTCCTTCGTTACTAGTTCTAAAGTGACGTTTTTTCAGATTAGTAACAGAGGTTTGAGCTCAGCTAATAAACTGTCAACTTGAGATCTAAATCCATGGCAGAAGGAAGTATTTCTGCATAAAAGAGGGTTTTTACGTTGTTGTTTCTTATGTATTTACACACTCTTGCCATCGAACTGTTGTATAAACGCAATATCACACGAGTAGCAGTGTGATATGGCTTTATATCAGCATGCTGTGATTACCAACAGCCGAATCACAGCCGTGCCAATATACAGCCATATTGCACTGCTACTCGTGTGATATTGCTCATTTAAATTTTAAATACACAAGTACACTCTCAAAATAAAAAAAATAAAAAATAAATAAATAAAAGGTACAACAGATGTCACTAGGTACATTTACATTTTTGCCACTTGGTACATTTTCTAAATGTACTCTTTTGTAGCTTATTTACCTCTAAATTGTGCATATGAAAGGTACATATTAGTACCTAAAGCGTATATATTAATGCATAAATGGCACATATAGTATCTTTTGAAAGTGAACCATGCCAGTGACAGCTTTTGTACTTTTTTTCTCTCTGGGAGTGTACAGTACATTCATATAACATATGGAAATGCTTTACAGATACTTCCGTATTTTAGTGATTTTTGAAGCAGTTCACTGACACATACAGTTTGAATTGATAGACTGAAATTAATTGAGCTTACCAACTATTTTTACTAATGCATTTTAAATTAGAGACTCTATAAAAAATATCTATAAATGCATTGTTGTGTAAAACCTGTGTGAATTTCCTGCAGCATCACAGCATACTTCACTGCTTCAGTGTATAGCTTTCACAAATAGCACCAGAACTGCTTCAATAAACTTGAAGAAACAAAAAATAAGCATGACATCTGCTGTCCAGAGTATCTCAGTGAGGAATCAGTTTCTGATTCCTTGTGAGCGATTTGGAGATCAGTGTTTTGATGTCAGGACGTGTGTGTGTGAAGACAGACAGGTGTAGGTCTGTTCTGTCAGATAAAGAGCGCTGGAGATATCATGAACATATGGCCAGACTCGTCTGATGATCCGGTCAGGCTGATAACAGACCAACTCTCTATCAACAGCTGTCCATCAAATGAAGGCATCACCGCAGTCAAGCAGATCCATAGGAGAGCTGAGACTGAGATTACGACGCTGTTTGCTTTTCTCAAGATGTTTCTGTCAGTAATGTTTTACACACTGAATCAGTAATAGACCTGATGTGGGAATTAATCAAGTTTCATACTGTATATTAAGGTGTTATAATATGTATTCGTGCAGCCTTATTGCTCGCATGTTAAGTCTAAACGTTTTTTGAGAGTCACTCAAATATGAAATATCCTTCTGTATAATTTGTGTAAATGAAAATGTTTAAGCCTGACATACTGTATGAAATAATAGTCAGGAAAAAAAAAATTTTTTTTAGATGTGAAAGTTGTGAAAGAACGCACGCACGCACGCACAAACACACACACACACACACACTCTCACTCACTCACACACACACACACACACACACACACACACACACTCGCACGCACAAACACACACACACACACTCTCACTCACTCACTCACTCACACACACACACACACACACACACAGAACTATACAGCTGTTCTTTCTAAATCCAACTGACAGCTTTAGAATGCTGGAGTTTGTCTGAATTGGCCTTTAGACATTCAGATGGAAACTGTCTATCATGTTTCTCATGGTTTTTAATTATCAACATATCCATAACAGCAAGAGTGAGAGAGTGAGAATATGCGAATGGAAATCTGGGCTCCATGGCAATGTAAGGTTCTAATTCAGTTTCCCTTTGTTGTGCATCTGGCTGAATAGAACTTAGAAATATGGTTCTGAAAAGAGCTGTGACAACAAAAGGAAATTAATTTTAATAAAGCCCAACCTCTCTTTAAAAAAGCCCATTGAGACAGACACAACCTGACTCTCAGTGGTCTGATGTACTAATGGTGCATTATCTTCACAGAACGCAGCAGGTTGTTGAAGCCACATTCAAACTCCATGACGCTGGAGTGAAAGGGGAACTGGATTTCTGTGGCTTTTGTTTCTGTAATGGAGACCCACATGTGGGACACACAGAGACAAATGAACACGCAATAACAGAAAACCCTCAGAAAACAGAACCACTGAACAAAGGAAGACGATTTACCACGTCTCACAATAACGAGGCTTTTTGGGCTTAATATATAATAACCTTTGTTCTGTTTTGCTCAGTGGTTTTGTCCTCTCTGTGAACCCTACAAATGTAGCACAATGATGGCGGTGCAGTTTATGAAACCAAAGATTAAAATGTATGTGAGACAATTTAACAACTTTAACTCCAGTAGATATTTCTAATGGTGGGTTTATTTTTGAAAATCCATTTCGGTAAAGACACAAATATGAAAAGTCTTCCAGGAACAAATGTATTGAGTACATTAAATGCAGTAGAGGGTCATATTGTTGCACTACATGGGGCAAGTTGTCACAATCTGTCAATAAACAGCCTGTTATAAGCTTTTCATCAAAATTTAAACACTTATTATCATTATGACAATTATGAAAGTCAAAATAATTCATGAACACAAAAAGGTAACAAATAAGTGCTTAAAAATAAAAATAAAATTAAAAAACGTAAAAATGACCAACAAATATTTTTTTTAAAACAATGTACAATTTTAAACTATTTCAATGGTTGTGACAACCTGAGAATTAAGAAAAAATCCCATGTTCTGACAAAGTTCAACCTCAGTTCAAATCTACTTTCATTACAATTGACTCGTTCGTGTTATTTTCTTGAGTTCACTTACTTCTACGGTGTTACCCAGCAAACAGTCATAATATCTATAATACAGATATGTGAAATTTAATTTTGACAAAATTCACCAAAATCATTCTAAGACTATATTGAATGCCTGATTGTAACCAACATATAAAACCTCTGCTAGAGAAAACAATCACTTCAGCTATTGTGACAACCCTATAATAACCTGATATTTGGTTAAAAGACCATTCTGGAAGTAAAATATAGAATCAGGCAACAAAATCAAGCATTTTAACATTCAAACACTGTTTTTAAAATCATGTGACTCGTTTATAATTGCAGAATGATTATTATTTTCACATGGAACAGGAATAATCACTCTCACCTCAGGCAGCAATAATCAATTAAAATATTCATGGCAGGCCTGACTGCAGCATGAAAATTATTTCTGCACATTTGAGTAGCTTTATTTATAAAAATGGGTGTGAGTGTGTAGTTTTAGCTGTCTCACCTTACACACACACACACACACCTTGTTGTGTCACTGATGAAGTTGGTGCTTTTTTTAAAATTAGTCACGACAGACACAAGTGTGTTTGGCCTTGAATTATTCAGTAGATTAACATATATTCTCTAGACTGTAATATTTAGCAATCCATTTTCATTTGCAATAGAGTTTTTCAGAGAACAGTCTGGATTTAAACAGAAGCCTCAAGGCAAATAACATACGCTTACAACAATACACACAGTGCCTGAGACTAGAAAACAGGCAGGAATCTTTCTTTTAAATACGAGACATTGTGTAAACCACACTCTCTCTACATCTCTTTCTCAGATGGGTTCAGTATTGACAGTGGACTACATGTGCTGCATAACGTTTTCTTTACCAAAGTAAAAGGGGTCTGATGTGGCCAGTAACCCAGATAACAAAAACATGTTCTAAGAACGTTTTGCGAACGTTCCCGGTAAGCTTTTTTTTTTTTTTTGTGAACGTTAGGGGAAACATTACACCGATTCACTTCCAAATATATCTCTGTTCAGGTCATTAATGGCAGTCTGTGTGGATATGAGTGTGTGATTGTCAACATGAAATATTCCTCTGTCCAGAAACAGGGACTATTATCTTTTATTGTATCCTCAAATGATCTCTTAATTAAAAATGCTATCATCTGAATACTTACTTGCCTAATGACCCAGTTCAGATACTTTATTAGTCCAGTGGAAATAGGAGAGCATTGTCCACTGATATTAATACTACAGAATACATCATACTAATCACATTAAGACAGTTATATTCAAGATTGGATTATTAGACGTCAATGAAGAGAATTTTTACAAATGTCACATTTGTTTAGCTTAAATATTTTTCCATTTTAATCACTATTAGAGAAAGGCGTATATAAATTAGCATCATAGTGCTTGAATGAGTGTGCTTTAGACTTTACGGTTAAACACAAACACAGATGATATTCTGGTTAATGGATGATTTAATAGTAGTCACAGCACAAGCTCTTCTCAGGCGCCTGTAAAGTGCTTTCATGAAACTAACCTAAAATTTTACAATTTGTGAAGCAGCAGTAAAAACAAAAACAAAAAAAAACTTTTTTTGCAGATTACTTCCCCTTCTTTTTCCACAGAGATGTTTAAAAGCACTTTAAGAGTAAATAACTACGACTAAACCTCAACCAGCAATGCAAAGAGGTTCAAACCCTTTCCTGAACACTCAGAAGTGAACCTATAAACTCAAACTGTTCCGTGAATGCAGGAATCTGATCCACTTTCATTGAATGCACCTGACATGCCTGGGATCGGCAGAAAAGAGCGGAGCGTCCTCTGAAATCCGCTGTGGATGCTGACGGGGAGCGGGGGGAGATTCTGTGGGTGTGTTGTGTCATCGAGAGAGATTGATTGAAGTGCTATAGTTCATTGTGATGAGTAAATTGTGTGCTTTTTCCTCTTTCGTGTGTTTTCCCTTTATAGGTGCGAAGCTTTAATTTTTTCCCCTTACCTTTTGTATCTTGTCCCCGTTATGTTTTCCCCCAGTGTATTTTCTTTTTATTTTCATTATTGGGGCAGTGTGTTGCACCCCTTTACTGTAAAGACTGTAAATATTAAAATTTTCCTTCACAGCTGAAGCAGTAGGGTTTGGGTGCCACTTATTTTCTTTTTCTCCTGTTTTTCATGTAGTTAAGGAGTTGGGTAAGACCACTCTATTTTTATTTTCTTTTGTTCAAGCACAAGAAAATGGCTTTCTCTCATATCCTGCAGAAGAAAGAAAGTCATTCAGGTGTGAAATGACACGAGGGTGATCAAATGACAGAATTTTGATTTTTGTATTAACTGTCTTTTAAAGAAGGCCTACTCAATGAGATTGATATGACACAAAGTGAAAATAACATGGTATTTTTGGGTTATGGAAACAACAGTTACCATGGTGAATATACAATACTAACATGAAGTGTTAATGAAACGTGGAAACTGCTCCTGAATAGAATGAATATCATACCTTCATGCAAATCCTTCCCAGCTAACGCACGCAGTAGCAGTTATGTGATTTATCAGTACTGTACTTTTATTTCACGCGTTGCATGCTCGTAGTTTCTGCACTTTAGTGAAATGATATACAGCGGGCCGCCACGTTCGCGTGTGCTACGAGCACGGTATAACATCTGGCAGGACAGTATAGTTCGCTTTTCTGAGGTGAGAGACTTTTTATTTCATAACAAGATACGAAAATAACGATAGAATATAGAAGTGTCAACAGCTTCATGCACGTCTTTTAAAATAAAAGTCTCGCATCAGAAACACTCCACGACCCACTCAGAACGGTCTCGCGACCCACCAGTTGAGAAACACTGTTCTAAATGACATTTCACTCCACTGTATATCTGTAGATGGTTAGACTGAAATACATATACAAACACATACAGGATGAGATGAATCTTACCTCTGAATACACTCGAGTTTGTTCAGTGCGTAGTTTGGATCGTTCAGTAGATCAGAGAACATCTTGACTCCTGATTCTTCTGAGTTCAGATCCAGCTCTCTCAGATCCAGCTCTCTCAGGTGTGAAGGGTTTGAACGCAGAGCTGAAGCCAGATAACGACAGCCTTCATCTGTCACCTCACACGACACTAATCTACAAACACACAGAAACAATAAAAACATCTGTGAGATTAGAACTCATGACAAAACCTGTTAAATCTTTTGACCTGAATGAGGTACATTTAGATGCTAACTGCAGTTAATGTTTCAAATCAATTAAAGTTGTAGATTACGAGTAAAACATATGTTTGCTCCCTCAATCTTTATTTAATTAATTTATGTTTTCTATTCCTGTTTATTTTTTGGTCTTGTCATGTGAGGTTTAAAACATTTGTATCCAATGCAGAAATATTAAGAGATGTTGCTCAGAAGACAATCAGCTGAATCTGTCATTGTCTTCAACTTCAAAACTCATAATTTCATTCAGATGTGGACAGTCCTACCTTAAGAGGAGTGTGAATCTTTGGGTAGACAGCTAATCAATTTGATTCACAATTCATAGGTTTTTGATTCTATTCAGGAACAATTTTATCAAATTCAGAACAATTCCCTTCAATGTGATTCAAATTGATTCTGTATCTTTTAAATGCATTCAGAGTTGGGGTGAGCAATGCGACCAAAATCTCATTTCACAATTATTATTTTTTGCTGGAAATAACTGATAAGGCTGTAAAATGATTTCACTCAAGACTAGCGCTATTATGAGAGATCTGTCATCAGCTCATGTGATAATCAGTGACCGTCCCGAGGACAGATCAAATATGAGGTGCTCAGAAGATGCTGTGGGATTACAAATTTAAGAAACTGCTTAAGATCTGCTGATCCTGTGTAATGACAAAAGATCACCTGAAAAACTTAAGTGATGTACATTGTATTTGACATTTAAAGTGAAGATGATGACGTCAATTAATTAATGTTATGCAAAGGTTCTAGTAGGTTGAGTCAAACAAGCAAAATAACTGAGACAATCACTGTTTGTCTAATGACTCTTGGTATCCCTCTCCATTTGCCCATTCTTTGTGCTCACTGTTAGTGATCATCAATAATTAAGGTGTGGACATTTCTTAATCTCTATGATAATATAATTCCAGAATCGCTGACTGAATTAGGGCTGGTGACATTCCAGAGTCTGATGCGGATGCTATAACTGCTTACTCCCTTTGCATGCTTTAAGGTCGTCGCCCAGGAGCTTTGTCTGCTCTGAGCTATGCCTCCTAAAATGTGTATAAAACTACAATGTTTCACTGATTTAGGCAGACTTGATGACTGCAGCGTCAAACAGCAGATTCGCAATAAAAAATCTGGTGTTAATGCTGAAGATACTTCTGAAATGTTTCACAATTCAGAAATCCATGTTTCAAGATTGATGTATATGCATCATCAGGATTTGCAATCAATGCATTTGAGACAATGAGTGAATCTTTACATCCCTATATCATGTGGATCAAATTCACATAAAACACATCTGATTCTCAAACCTCAGTATCTCCAGCTGACAGTTTGGTTTCTTCAGTGCATCAGAGAGCAGCTTCACTCCTGAGTCCCGCAGATTATTGTAACTCATGTCCAGATCTATCAGACGGGAGTTTGATGATTGTAGAGCTGATGCCACAAATTCACAGCTCTGACCAGTGAGTTTACAGCGTTCCAGTCTGAACAGAGTAATAAAAAAAATGGATAATTACACATCCATCATGAGCTAATAGATTTGTATCTCCTGAAGGCTGTGTTTGTGTAAGTTTTGATTTTAGGTTCTTTGTAAATGAAATGCTGCATCAATAGCATCTTAAACTGAGCTGTTGACACTCTGCTAATTGTTTTCTGTACAACAATATTCTTTTTTTCTCTGAGAGTGACTCTTACACAAACAAATACAAAATTCACACATTACACATTTTGACTATATATTTAGCAGATTCTTTAATATATCAGTATACTGGAAATTAATCTCAAACCTCAGTATCTTCAGCTGACAGTTTGGTTTCTTCAGTGCATCAGAGAGCAGCTTCACTCCTGAGTCCTGCAGAGCATTATAACTCATGTCCAGATCTATCAGACGGGAGTTTGATGATTGTAGAACTGATGCCACAGATTCACAGCTCTGACCAGTCAGATTACAGCTTGTCAATCTGAACAGAGTAATAAATAACTGAATAATTACACATCCATTAAATATTTAAATAATTTCACATTTTCATCTGAGTTTGAAAACAATGCAAAGTGATCTCATACAAATCCAAGCCTTTATTCTGTGATCTTCATCTCCATCCCGAGCAGCGAGTCCAGTGACCATGAGCAGCAAAGAAAGCCTGCGCTGACTGACGCGCTCTTTACAAATTCAAATGCTGCCGCTTCAAACGACAGGTTTTACGGCCGGATAATTGAACGCTCATTGGCTCTCGCCTGCATTCGTCACAGATTGCGACAAGCCGTGTTTCTGGTGAGGTGTGTTTGAATGATGCGCGCTCGCCTTCACGAGTTCACGGAGGGGATCGGGAAAATTATCTGGATAATATTTTCAGCGATTAACAACATAAATTCTGCTCTGGATCACACAAACCTACTGTATTCCGCCAGAGAGGACTGCGGGTGCAACGCATCATTTGGATTACATTTGGTGCTGCTTTTGACATTTTTGCAATAAATAAATGATTGTAATTGCATTTATCTGTCTGTCAAGTTTTTTATACTGTACAGAAATGTTTAGGTTTATAAGTAGGAGTGGGATTAGAGACTATAAAAATATTTTAATGCTATATTGTTACTAAAATGGTTATTTTGTGATCAACATGGCGGCGCGTTCCCATGCTGCGGCTTCTCTCTCTCCCGACAGAAAGGTGTTTTCGTGTTTTTTGTCTTGTGAGTCGCAGTGTTTTTGTACGTATTCGTCGCGTCTATCTGTCTCTAAGCGCACATACAGTCGTGAGTTTCTGCTCGATGTTGGCAAAACCACATTTTTAGAGTTAAACTCTGCGCACGCCGAACAGCTGCGGGATCTCGGTCTGCTCCGGAGGCCCACACCATCACCGACCCCCACTACTGCATCTCGCCCACAGCGGAGGCGCCACAAGCGGCGCGAGAGGAAGCAGAAGAGGGGCAAGTGCGGAGGTATCCGGGCTAGGCTAGCGGCTAACATTTTATATTTAATCTGTATCTATCTGTATTTATGTTCTACTGTTAGTGTTATCTGTATACACCAAGGGTCTGAGAGTAACACAATTTCAATTCTCTGTGTGTATGTGCTGTACATGTGGAAGAATTGACAATAAAGCAGACTTGACGACTATTTTCCTGCATATTTCGGTCATTTGCGTTTTATATTCTTTTATATTCGCTATAAAATTGGTAGGTTAAGGTTTGGGGGTAGGTTAAGGGGTCTAAAAATCTAAATTGCGTATTAATAAAATTATAAAAATGCATATTCGCTGTAAAATGGATAGGTTTAGGTTTGGAGGTAGGTTAAGGGGTCTAAAAATCTAAATCGCTTATTGATAAAATGATAAAAATGCATGGATACGAATATCTTAATGATATAAAAGATGCGTAAATATTTGTATGTTTTTTAGCTAAAAATACGTAGCGATTTGTACGTTTTAAACGTTGAAATACGTTTAAATTGTACGTTTTAGCATTACTAAAAACTTACAAAAATGTACGTTTTGTGCTTGTAAATGTTACGTATTAATACCTACGTATATAAACATGAGACCAGGCTAAACAATAACATGGTAGACAGGTTCTCTTATTATACTGTACACATTTTATGCTTGCATGACTGTTGACAGAATAAACAAAACCAGGATGTTATGTTCTCATTTCTCATGTTATTTAGCATATTCTGTAGCTTTTAACTGACAAGCATATAGTAGCTGTCCATCATATCCTCTTGGACTCTTGTTTTCACCTGGTCATAAATAAACCATATGTCAGACCGGGATATTTACATTTACATTTAATCATTTAGCAGGGGTATGAACACAGGTCCCCTCTCACTCTAATAATAATAATAATAATGTTACTACTACACTAACAAGTCTGTTCCATTTATGGATACAGTATTTGTTTATTTACATTTATCACCAATCAAAACATAGAGAAATGAACTAATTTCTCTATGTAAATACATAGCAGATATGTTCACTGAATATAAACCTAACAGACCACTCAGATCATTAGGATCAAGTCAGTTAGAAATACCAAGGGTTCACACAAAACAAGGGGAGTCTGCTTTTAGTTATTATGCCACCCGCAGCTGGAACCAGCTTCCAGAAGAGATCAGATGTGCTAAAACATTAGTCACATTTAAATCCAACTCATCTGTTTAGCGGTGCATTTATTGAATGAGCACTGTGCGATGTCCGAACTGATTGCACTATATTCTATGTATAATCGTTTTCTTAAATTCATTTTAAACCTTTTTTAAATCATTTTCAAAGTTTTTAAATTCCTTGTTTTATTGTTGTGATTTTATTTTTTTTCTTTTCTTTTATGTAAAGCACTTTGAATTACCATTGTGTATGAAATGTGCTATATAAATAAACTTGCCTTGCCTTGCCTTGCCTAATATTTAACCTCAGACCCTGTAGCAATTTTAATGGGTAGGACTTTTTATTTTATATATAAAAACTTTTGTGTTGTATTTTTTATTAGTATTTCCATGTGAGATTTAATACATTTGTAATTGATGCAGTAATATTTGGAGATGTTGCTCAGATTAGATAATTAACTAATTTTGTCTTTAATTGGAAAACTAATTAAAAAATAATTAAACCCACTAATCTATTTGATTTGGTAATGATACTTTATGTGTATCAAATTAACATATAAAAACACATCTGATTCTCAAACCCCAGTATCTCCAGCTGACAGTTTGGTTTCTTCAGTCCATCAGAGAGCAGCTTCACTCCTGAGTCCTGCAGCTCATTGTGACTCATGTCCAGCTCTATCAGACGGGAGTTTGATGATTGTAGAACTGATGCCACAGATTCACAGCTCTGACCAGTCAGATAACAGCTTGCCAATCTGAACAGAATAATAAAAAAACTGAACAATTACACATCCATTTTTATTTACTGATATATTATCTGTTATCATTTAATAAGATCAACACGTTCTGTTGAAAATAAAGGTGAATTCAGATTGTTAACCAGTTTATCTCTACAGCCATTTGCCAGATAAAGTTGTAACGGAGAAAATTATAATTTTTAACATCAGACACATCTCATAATATAAAGTATATAATATAATTTAATAAAAGTTTTTCTGCTGTTATCAGGAAAAAAAACCAAGTGATTGCGCTGGTGCCCTCATGTCATGCAGTAAACACACAGAGGTCTTCAACCCTGTTCCTGGGGACCCACTGTCCTGCAGAATTTAGCTACAACCCTAATCAAACACACCTGAAGCAGCTGATCAAGCTCCTCAAGATTGCTTGAAAATACACAGGCAAGTGTGCTGTAACAGGCTGGAAATAAACTTTGCAGGACAGTGGGTCCCCAGGAGCAAGGTTGAAGACCTCTGCGCTAACAGCTTCCAGACTCTGCACAAACACTTGGATGTGCCTATAGAGCCATTTTTTTGTTTTTTTTAATGACTGGCAAACATTTGGATAAATATGATCAAAATACGACTACGAAAATAAATCTGTATTGTTCATTCTTTCAACAAGTAAAACAAATGAAGGTGTGTGTGTGGGGGGGGGGGATTCGATCTACCTGTAAAGGTTAATTTGGTTTCTCCCAACTTCACTGATTAACTATACCTACACGTGTCATTCATTTGGTACCTGACACACTCTGAGGAAGGCTGAAGGCCCAAATGCATCAGTGTGCAGTGTTTTAGTCATTTTTAATGCTCAGATTGTGATGACCATAATGAGAACAAAGGAATAAATGCCTTGGATTCCAATGTTTAGATGAATGATTGCCAAGCAACATAGACACAGCAACACAATGATACTGATGTAATAATGTCACAGGTGTGTGTTTACAGAGTGTTTTACAACAGCTTCAAATGCAGCTCAGCTAATCACCAATCAAGAAGCAGAACTATCAGTTTTATTAAACATCATTTCAATAACTTATTTGATTTGGGTGATTATACCTCATGTGTATCAAATCAACATATAAATGCATCTGAATCTCAAACCTCAGTATCTTCAGCTGACAGTTTGGTTTCTTCAGTCCATCAGAGAGCAGCTTCACTCCTGAGTCCTGCAACTCATTGTGACTCATGTCCAGCTCTATCAGACGGGAGTTTGATGATTGTAGAACTGATGCCACAGATTCACAGCTCTGACCAGTGAGAGCACAGCGTTTCAATCTGAACAGAGTAATAAATAACTGAATAACTACACATTAATTTATATTTACTGACAAAAGATGCAGTATATTTGATCATTTAATAAAGATACATGTTCTGTTGAAAATAAAGGTGAATTCAGATTGTTAACCAGTTTATCTCTACAGCCATTTGCCAGATAAAGTAGTAATGGAGAAAATTATAATTAACACTTAATTTGTGTTCCGAAGATGAACGGAGGAGGTCTTACGGGTTTGGAACGACATGAGGGTGAGTAATTAATGACAGAATTTCCATTTTTGGGTGAACTATCTCTTTAAGATCAGACACACAATCTCATAATATATAAAAATAAAACAGTCTAACATTGCAAAATCAAACTAGTGCCGCCCCAACTGAAGATTTTTCTAGTCGACTAGTAGTCATTCATTTAAGCCATTAGTTGACTAATTGCATGTTTACATTAATTTAATTACTTTAATTACATAAAGCTTGCCACAGAGCCCCGGCAAAAGTAATGACTATGAATGTATTGGAAAAAATAGCAAGGAGATATTTTAATTATTTATTAATAAATAATTTACTAAATCATTTATTCATAAATAAAATGACAAAATGTTTAAAATTTTTCCACTGTTATCAGGAAAAATTTGAGTGATTGCGCTGGTGCCTTCATGTCATGCAGTACACACTAACAGCTCCACACTCCACACTAACACTTGGATGTGCCTAGTGCCATATTTGAGGATTTTGAATGACAGGCAAATGTTTGGATAAATATGATAAAAAAAATAAAAAAAATTTAAACTGTATATTTTATCCTTCTGATGGTAATTTAAAAAAAAAAATCACAAAAGTTTCTCCCAAGTTCACTGATTAATTATACCTACACGTGTCATTCATTTGGTTCCTGACACACTCTGAGGAAGGCTGAAG